TTGTTAAGTGAGGTAGTTGTGATAGTGCTGGTTGTTTAAATGACTAAATGTGAAAGCACTTCTTAAAAAATACAACATAAACCCTAGTCTAAGGTTTATCCCTCGCACCCTGTACAAGAAGCAGACTGATATCAAGCTTGTGCAGTCAACAATAGTCCATCCTCTTTAACAGAACATTCTAGTGATGTATTAATGCATAGATGTTGAATGTTCAACTAATTTTATGCATGTGCTCTGTGTGTGTGTATGTCATGTGATATACAGGTAGTCCTTGACTTACGACAACAATTGAGCCCAAAATTTATGTTGCTAAGTGAGAAATTTATTAAGTGAGTTTTGTCCCATTTTATGACTTTTCTTGCCATAGTTGTTAAGTGAATCACTGAAGTTGTTAAATTAGTGACATGGTTGATAAGTGAATCTGGCTTTCCCATTGACTTTGTTTGTCAGAAGGTCACAAAAGCTTATCACATGAACTTGGGACACTGCAAATGTCATAAATATGAACCAGTTGTCAAGCATCCTAATATAAATCACATGACCATGGGGATGCTGCAATGGTCATAAGTGAAAAATGGTCATAAGTCACTTTTTTCAGTGCTGTTGTAACTTTGAACAGTCACTAAATGATCTGTTGTAAGTCAAGTAACATGTTAAAAGGTAAGTCAACACTGATCACCAAGAGAATAAATATAAAACATTTAATAAAATAACCTAGCCTTCGTCGGGCACTCCCGACATCATCAGGGTTCAAAGAAGGCAGTTCCTGGGAGAGAACTTATATATAGCCTCTTATTGCCTGCATCCGGCTGCGTGAACGTGTAACAGGGCCCAGCTGTCTGTATTCCTGCACTCCAAGTACGTCCCTCCCGTGTGTAGTCCTTTAATATCCTTCCTCCGTTTTTCATCGCGCACCCCTCCACCACCGATCCCAGGACTGGAAGAACACCCCCCCATCACACTCGCTATTGGCAGCCTTCTCCGCACCTCCACCTATGCACACGGGGTTCCCTCTATCAGATGTTTCTCTGGTCCTGCAATACACACCGGTCGAGTTGCGGCCGATTCTTCTCCCCTCCACCCGCCGCAATCTAGATGTCTCCCCTTCTCCTGCAGTCCCCGTCATCCCATTCCCCTGCGTAACTGTCATCCCAACACATCCACAGTTCCCTTCCACACACACCCTTCTTTCTTGTTCTTGGGGACCGTTTCTCCGTATATGGGAATCCCCCTTGCATGCCGTATCCGGGGCGGTATCCTGGGTGGCATCCTGTCTCCCCCACCACCCAGCAACACTCTGTCCGTTCCTTGTTACAAATCCCCCATTCTCATCCTCCCCCCAAGAGAATTCCTCCGTTGTGGCCGCGGGCATTTGCTGATCGTCCTCCCCCGTTCTTCTGCCGCGTTAGTCAATGGGGAGCTCCTCCTACCACCACGATCAAGTCCGGTCGTCTTCATGCACTTGCTAGTCCAACTTGCAGGGCCGCAATGACGTCGCCAATCCGACGTCACACCGCGCAGGATGATTCTACGTCGGATTGGCGACGTCATAGCAGCCCCGCAGCGAGTTGGACTACTACTCCTAGAAGCACGAAGCTGAAGACACCAGCCTGAAGATGACGAATGTGACTTCGTCAAAACGTCGCCAAGACACTTCTAATTCTACGCGGGAGAAAACCCGAATAACTAAAGACCTATTATATATATAATAACAAATGTAAAAATAACAAATGAATTCGAACACCAGGATAAGGTTATAAACAAAACTGTTTAATATACAAGAGTACTTACCTTTCGTACTCTGCCGACACCGTCAGAGTATAAAAACAAGGATTTGGGAGTTCATTTATATAACTGGCTACCTCTGCGCCCTACTCCTCGATCAGGTCATTGGTCCACTCATTATCACCCACCGTGTTGTTCTTAAAGGGCCCGCACTTGTCAATATATATACATACATACATACATATGATATACACACACACACACGTATACATATATATCTCCATTTGTTTTCAAGGGAGTTTGTTTTCTAATGCAGGCATATGCATTTATGAAAAAAAATGAAATACAGTTGTAACATGTTAAAAGGTTAGAAACAATGTATCTATCCAACAGATTAAAGAGAAAACCTTATCTCTAGGACTATAGCCTTAGACATACTTGTTTATGAAGATCTTTGTTCATTCCCCAAGGGAATGTGGTATATTGGTTGAATGGGTTAAAATGATTTATTTATATATTTGTTTGTTAGAGTGACATCCCTTTTTTACTTTATAAACTTAAGACAGTGTACACAGCATTAATCTATTTTCCACAGCATTCCTGTGAAGCAGATTAGACTGAGAGACATTGACTAGCTCATGGTTACTCAATGCGTTTTCATGGTTAAATTTGAACCTAGGTTTCCCTGATTCTTGTCAAGCACTTAATCACTATACAACGTCTGCTCTTTCAGAGTATTATTTACACTTGGAGTCCTAGTAGGATTTGGAAATGTGATAGATGGGGCAGGGCCATCCCTGAGTGCACAGTACAAGTGAGACGCAAGTTGAGCTAGTGGCTCCAAGCATGGCAGATCAGGGTCAGCAAACTGCTAAGCCAGTGTTGGGGCATGAGTATTCATCCTCGCTACTTTGTCTCCACACCATGGTCATGCTTGTGAGTTGGGCAGTCATTCCAGTTGAATGAATAAATTGCTTTCAGCATTCAAAATGTGTAAAACAACCACCATTTGCAGTTAAGCTGTAACAGTCAGGACTGGAGTTCAAAACCACAAATACACAATTTCTAGGTTATTTAGTTATCTGCGTTAGTAGAAAAAACTGAAAAATATATATATTGTATTTTATTGTACAGCTTGTTCTTAATTTTCTACAATGTTTGTATTAGTTGTGAGTGCAGTAGTTTTAGTATCATTACACAAAGGACTAAAGTGCAAGCTAACAGGGATTTCAGCTACCTAGGAAAAACAAGTGGAAACTGCTCAGGATGTAAGCCCCAGCAGTTCTTCAGACAGGCTGCTCTTATTTGAAAAGAAAGAGAAATGTTTCTTGTCTGAATGAAATAAAATAAATACCAAGCTGTGTTAGAGAAGCAGCCAAGAGAATTCTTACTGATTTATTGAAGCCTTTCCAACATGCATAGCAGAAAAGGAGAGAGAGGGGGGGAGGGAGGGAGGGAGGGAGGGAGGGAGGGAGAGAGAGAGAGAGAGAGAGAGAGAGAGAGAGAGAGAGAGAGAGAGAGAGAGAGAGAGAGAGAGAGAGAGAGAGGGAGGAATAAGCTACTCATCTTTCCTCAGGGTAACTCTGGGTGTCTTTCAATCATAGAAAATGTTATATAGTGAGAATTTGGTCAAAATTGATTTGTTTTATGTGGTTAAAGGGATATTTTGCTTCATTGAGCTTAATGTGTCAGTGATTCAAAAATGTCATGCAGAATAAGCAAGAAGAGGAAATTGCACAATGTTACTTAGGAAGTCTAATCTGTTTATATTGCAGGCAAGCCAGCAGAAAATGATGTGAAGCTTGGATCATTGAAATTGAAACCAAATACGAAAATCATGATGATGGGGACTCGTGAGGAAAGTTTGGTAAAATACCTTATTGCTCTATTAAAACACAGAAACCAATTTCTAATGGCTATAAAACTCCCTAAAATGTAATCATCAAAATCATGTTAAAATGATGTAAGGAGCCTGCTTTTGTGAAAACTTTCAGGGTGGCCCTTTGTGTAAGTATTTGCTTTTGCACAATACATATTAATGGACCAAATGTATTATTTCAAATGCAGGATTCGTATGTATCATGTGAACTTATGGAATACAGTACCATTTGCTTTCCATTTTATTTCCATGTACTTTTTGTTGTTGGCAGTAGCCTTTAATTAAATGGCAGCTGCCGATTTCCTGTGAGCATAGTGTCTATCAATTCATTCAACCATGTTTACTCTCTGTTAATTTCTATAGTATGAATAGCTATCTAGAAGTCATTGTTCTGGGCTTTGGCTAATCCACCAAATTAGGCGAACATGTGACTATCTCTGTGCTAATTTGTTTAAAAAATTACCTTCATTATAGGAAGATGTCCTTGGGCCACCTCCTGATAATGAAGATGTAGTGAATGATTTTGATATTGAAGAGGAGGTTGTTGAAGTAGAAAATCGGTGAGTCACTGTGTAGAGTAATAAATGAATGACTAGCTAAAAGAACTACAGCTACATGATGCTTATATTGTTTGTGTTTAGGGAGGAGAATCTGCTGAAAATCTCCCGCAGAGTTAAAGACTACAAAATAGAAATACTGAATCCTCCAAGAGAAGGGAAGAAATTGTTGGTTCTCGATGTTGATTACACATTGTTTGGTAAGTCATTAACCTTAGGTTGAAACTGTTCCTCGCTGTTTAATGTTGTATATCTTGACTGTGTATTACTTTTACTATATTCTTTATAGCTCTTAAGGCATGCTTTACAACAATAATTACAATATCTCAAATAATAATAGTTTGAATAGTAGCAGGCAGATCATGATGACAGCGTAAAACCATAAGATAGTAAGCAACATGAGACAAAACATTTTAAGCATCTTTTGAAAAACCACCAGTGAGGGGAATATAAACATATTTAAGTGAAATAATTTCAATAAGTCAAGTTGATTATGAAAATATTTCATTTCCTGTTACCTGTTAATCCAAAGATCTTCAAGATATTCAAGATGGACAGTATTTAATATTTATTTGTTATGTATATGTAGGGGTGTGGGTCTATATATATGTTGTATATAGTATGTTTAGGTGTGTGTCATGTATGTGTTTCACTTTAAGAGCGGGCAACTAAATTTTATTTTTGATGTGTGCCATTGTGCCCACAGTAAAAAAATGACAATAAAGCTTATCTTATCTTATCTTATCTTATCTTATCTTATCTTAATCCCCAGCTGTAAAATATGTTCTCTAAGGCTAATTTTATGGTATACATATGGTCAGTTCTTTGGTAAATTTATGGGTCAAGGCTTTAAAAATAAAATGTTGAACATGAAAACAAGCAGTCAATCAGTTGCTGTCACATTTTTAAATGTACGCTTACTCTTTATAACTTAGGGGGAAAACACTGATAACAGTAATTTAATATAAAACATATCACGGTAAGCATTATAATTCTCTATGAGATAGCTTTGATTAAGTTATATTTAAATTCAGATGTAAACAAAAATCTGAAATCAGTAGGTCGGTTGGAACAATGTGTACAGATTGTGGTTCCAGGTAATTAAAGTTTAGTTCCCTGTTTTAGATGTAACAAATAGAACCTAAGCTAAGAAGAATCTGTGCTGATGGTAGTATATGTAAAAAAAAAAAGCAAGCTGAAAAACAACTCATCACTTAGGCCTAATGTTGATCTGCAGGTTATTGAAATCTGATTTAGCAACTTGGTAGTGTCATGTCTGCAAGGTGGTGATTGTATTTGTTGAATTGTATATTGTGGAATCATTATCTTATTTTTTTTTAATTAAATATTTTACAAAGAACATTAAACAGAGAAAGAAAAAATGCAGGAAGAATGAAAACAAAATAGAAAGAAAAATCTTCCAGGTTCCTTTGCAACAAACATAAGTAAAATTATCAAATAATCTCTTACTCTACACAAAAAGCTCATTCCTTTCTATTCTCCAGTTTTTTTCTACTCATGCAAGCCACAAGTTCTTTTTTTTTCCATTTTATGCAGCAAATCTCTAAGGGATTCCAATCAGTCATAAATACGTTTTCTCTCTAAGCAATGAAGTTAATTTAGCCATCTCTGTAAGGGTTATCTTTAGATTTTTTGTTCTGCCTTTATTACTTTTATAAGTAACACAAAGTGGTGAAAATACCTAATATTCCTTCCTTCCTTCTTCTATTATCCCTACTACAACAACCCTGAGAGGTGATTTAGGCTGAGAGAGAGAGTGAGTGGCCCAAAATCACCCAGCTGGCTTTCAGCCTTGGTTAGGGCTAGAATTCGCACTCTAACCCTAGTCTGCATTGTGGTCTGATGCATTAATTGCCAGACCAATTTCAATATCTTCACCAACCATTCCTCCATTGTAGGTATTGAACGTTTCCACTTTTAAGCTTATAGTAGTCTCACTGCAGTTATCATATATAAAAACAAATCATTATTAGGCTTGTATAGAGCAATTTAGTTTCACTCTATGGGGACAGTGATTCTTTGTGTTGAAGTGAGGAGGTGGTGTTTTGCCTTAAACTACTTTAGGCTAGTACTGCAGGAGAAGACTCTGCTTATTCTAAGGCTGTTAAGGGAGATCAACAGTTATTTTGTAATAATCGCACCAACTGTTGTCACCTTCTCACCAAGCTGCTTGGTGATAGTCTTGTAGCCCATTCCAGCCTTGTGTAGGTCTACAATCTTGTCCCTGACATCCTTGGACAGCTCTTTGGTCTTGGCCATGCTGGAGAGTTTGGGATCTGATTGATTGACTGCTTCTGTGGACAGGTGTCTTTTATAACAGGTAACAAGCTGAAATTAGGAGCACTCCCTTTAAGAGAATGCTCCTAATCTCAGCTCGTTACCTGTATAAAAGACACCTGGGAGCCAGAAATCTTGCTGTTTGATAGGGGATCTAATACTTATTTCACTCATTAAAATGCAAATCAATTTATAACTTTTTTGAAATGCTTTTTTCTGGATTATTTTGTTGTTATTCTGTTTCTCACTGTTAAACTATAATAATAATAATAATAATAATAATAATAATAATAATAATAATAATAATAATAATAATAATAATAATAATAATAAAGTTGGAAGGGACCTTGGAGGTCATCTAGTCCAACCCCCTGCTTAGGTAGGAAACCCTATACCATTCCAGACAAATGGCTGTCCAGTCTCTTCTTAAAAACTTCCAGTGTTGGAGCATTCACCACTTCTGGAGGCAGGTTGTTCCACTTGTTAATTGTTCTAACTGTCAGGAAGTTTCTCCTTAGTTCTAGGTTGCTTCTCTCCTTGATTAGTCTCCATCTGTTGCTTCTTGTCCTGCCTTCAGGCGCCTTGGAAAATAGCTTGACTCCCTCTTCTTTCTGGCAGCCCCTGAGATATTGGAATACTGCTATCATGTCCCCCCTCGTCCTTCTCTTCATTAAACTAGACATACCCAATTCCATCAACCGTTCCTTATATGCTTTAGCCTCCAGTCCCCTAATCATCTTTGTTGCTCTTCCCTGTACTCTTTCTAGAGTCTCAACATCTTTTTTACATCGTGGTAACCAAAACTGGATGCAGCATTCCAAGTGTGGCCTTACCAAGGCATTGTAAAGTGGTATTAATTCTTCACGTGATCTTGATTCTATCCCTCTGTTAATGCAGCCCAGCACTGTTGGCCTTTTTGGCAGCTGCAGCACACTGCTGGCTCATATTTAAGTGATTGTCCACTAGGACTCTGAGGTCTCTCTCACAGTTACTACTATTGAGCAAGGTAGCCCCTATACTATACCTGTACATTTGGTTTTTCTTGCCTAAATGTAGAACCTTACTTTTTTCACCATTGAATTTCATTTTGTTAGATAGCGCCCAATGTTCAAGTCTGTCCAGATCCTCCTATATCCTAAGCCTGTCTTCTGGAGTGTTGGCTATTCCTGCCAGCTTGGTGTCATCTGCAAATTTGATGATTTCCCCATCTATCCCCTCGTCCAAATCGTTCATGAAGATGTTGAAGAGCGCTGGGCCCGCATCTACATGGAGGGACGCCCAGAACAGAGCCCTGGGGCACCCCACTACACACTTCCCTCCATGTAGATGCGGTTCCATTGAGGACCACATGCTGAGTACGGCCGGTCAGCCAGCTACGGATCCATCTGGTGGTGATGCTGTCTAACCCACATTTTTCTATCTTATCAAATAGTAGGTTGTGATCTACTTTATCAAATAAACCTACCATTAAAATTATAGACTGATCATTTCTTTGTCAGTGGGCAAACATACAATATTTCCCCTCACTGTACCTATCAACTGGTATGGAGATGAAATATTGGATATTTTCCTGATTTCCTTTCTCTGGAAAGCTCTGATTTGTAGTATTTTAGGCTTTAAAAAAAGACCCCACAGGTCAACAGCACTGGGCTGTTTGCAACTAGTTGAGGTCAGAGTGTTACTCCATGGGGATGATGTTCAAAGAAAATTTGAACTGAGTCAAATGAATCTGATGACTTTCTTCTCAGATCACAGGTCATGTGCAGAAACGGGAATTGAGCTGATGAGGCCCTACCTTCATGAGTTTCTGACATCTGCTTATGAAGATTATGATATTGTAATTTGGTGTAAGTCATTTACTTTACAAACAAATGATCTGATTACTTGCCATTTTTATTTGCAATGCGTGAATCTGATGATAGATGTTGAAGCTTATGTTTTTGGTGTTCAGTCTTTCTCTTATATTTAATCCTCTTTAACTTTGGGCAGTTGTGCAAACTATGTTGATGAAAAATACAGCTTTTCTTGGGCAAAAATAGATTAGAAATCCATTTGGAAAGTAAACCAGAACTACTGCACTTTGCCCAACACTTTGGGAATGATACATTAAGTGGCAGATTCCCTGTGCCTTATCATTTCTTATTACAAACTGATTTGACAGCTTTTCCTGATCTCCAAAGAGCACAATTGCCCAGGTGAAAGAGCAAGAAAGAAGTGGCAATATGAATCCAATTTTTTCTAAAGATGTGCAGTTTTTAAATGGTTCTATGAATCTATATCATGAGGTATCAAACACTCTTACCACTAGTTATTGCGTCATTTGTCTATTATTCTTTCGATGTTCATATTTTATAAAATGATATCTTAATGCTTTCTCCTGCTCTTATAGGTTCCCATTAAAGTGAATGCAGGATAGAATAAGTCTATACTTCACATATACCCCTTGAATTGTTTCTGCCTTTATTTATTCATGTGGTAGCATTATGTGATTTATATCTCTATCTACAGTCAAATGTCTTCTAGCTAGGAGTTCTGATATTTCTTCCAATACATCTGAGTAGTACCAGTTTGGGGAAAGCTTTCTTAGAAGTATCCAGAATCATCAAATAAGTAAAATGTATAGCTCCTTCTTAATAAGGAGCTGATGGGCAAATCGATTGGTCTTGAATAGGTGGGATGATTTCTTAATTATAAATAAGGGAGTGAAAGCTAAACTAAAAATATCAGAATGATTACCCTTATTTTAAAAACAGAACAACTTTTCATTTTATAATCTCTTTTTCTACTTCAGCTGCAACTAATATGAAATGGATTGAAGCTAAAATGAAAGTAAGTTTTCTATATATCTTTCTGTTTCTAATGATCTGTTTAGATTGTTTAGAATTTGTGTGGTTTTTAAAATGATCTATTCGCAAAATTATAAATCCGCTTTAAATTAGAATACAGAATTCCATTGGCTTGGATCTTTGTGTTTCCACGAATGAAGTGTTTTAATTCTGCCCATAAGAAGCTCCTGCAAATAAATGGACAAGGAGTTCCTTTTCCACCAATTCTCCTTTTATGCCTTAGAAATATCCTTGTTGTTGGAACTGTTTGGAAGATGGTCCTGTGAGCTGTAGAGGAGCAAAGAAATTGACTAAAACCAACCCTCTTTTTAACTCCAGGAGCCTCAGTTCAATCAGATTATTTTCCTGAATAAAAAGGAACTACTTATTTCTGAAGAGTTAAATCTGAATCCAGGTCATTGGGGAACTTTTCTTAGGAGAGTGCATGGGATTGTGACTTCTCATTCATTCCCTAGTAGAGATTAGCAGCAGATGTACTCTCATATGTTGGCCTATGGTTAAGTGCCAAAATAGCAGCAGAGTCTGAGTTAAATCTGTAGGAATCTAATAACTGCCCACCACCAGATCCTGAAATCATCCCATATTTTTTCCTCTGGACCAGATATTTTCTAGTAGATCCCTCAAGTCTAACCTGTAGATATAGTCCCCAGAGGAACATTCCCATATATATATATATATCTGAAGAATGGAAAAAATAAGAACAAGAATGTCCTTTTCTTTGCTGTGCCCTTTTTTCAGCTTAGCTGGCTTCTCACTCATTATATTAGATAATGTATTTGGCAGGACTTCATGTAATCCACCACATAATTTTCAAGAGTTCCTAAGCATAGGAAAGCTATGCTAAATCACTCCAGTTCGTCACTTA